AGCCAGCGTAGATCCTCCTCTCTGGGTGAGCTTCGCCGCCGCCGACGTCCACGAGCAGAGAAGTCCTACGACTAAGGACGAGGACGAGGCACGTACGACCACCCCCTCCCGTGGCCCTCTCTGTGGCGCACATCGATCGGCCGAGTCAAGGTAGCCTCCGCTAGTGTCAATATCTGTGTTTCTTTTAACTTCGTTTCGGGTCTTTCTGGTGGGGGAAATTTTCGGGGCTTAGATAGAGAGAATGATTTATTTATAAGTTTTCCATTTTTGGGGGCAGGTTGTTGAGAAAGGGATTTGCTTTTCGTTTATTCCGTCGGTTCTCTTTTTTTCTGGTCCCTTCTTCCCCATGCGCGCGTGTGTGTGTGTATTCGGGTTTTGTTTTATGGTCTTTAAAGGTGAATTCTCCTTAAGCGAGGAGTTGACCTTCGTTTCTTTCATTCGTAATTTACTTGTTTTTGAACAGGATTTAAATCTACGGAAGAGAGAACGGTGAGTGTCGTGGATACTGTCTCCATAACAACGAGAATAAAACAAGCAAGAAAATCCATGATCTTCAATAACAGTCCATTGAGAAGAACGCTAAAGAAAATGGAATAATATGCGGTTTCAAAGAAAACGGGCGTATTAATGGAGTAACTAATATATAGCTAAGAGGACATTCGGTCAGGCTGATGTCGGTTTTCGTAGTATGGCACTTTTCGCCGAAATTTTGGGGTACAGAAAAAAAAACATTGTAATAGAACTGACTTGTTTTCTATAATTCATATTTCTTATTGTTTATTCTCTTTTTTCTATAAAACCATGCGGAGAAAGAGAGAGAGAGGAGAGAGATAGATAAATAGATAGATAGATAGAGAGAGAGGGAGGTAGGGAGGGAGAGAGAGAGAGAGAGAGAGAGAGAGAGAGAGAGAGAGAGAGAGAGAGAGAGAGATTCAGAGGCATAGAGAACGGGGAAGAAAGACAGACAGAACGAGAAATTTGTTTTGTAGTTATAAAGGAAGTGTTGTACTGTGTTGCGTGTATCAAGAGATGTACTCTTGATAGACTACACACACTGTATTATTTTTGTTTATTTGTTTGTTTACTTGTTAGTATTTAATTTTCTGTGATATCTACACCCTAATCTCACTCACATGTACAGGGATTAATTCCAGTCACTTTTAGCTTTCCCGTAAGTAAATTCTAAGTTCATTATTAGACCCAATTTCACAGGCATCTTTGATGTGTCCGAAGATAGTAGCGTACAAATGTAATTCACAACAGGCGAAATTCCACGTATATATCTTCTGGCAATCGTCAACTATGTGTTTAAATAGAAGGTTTTACTGTAAAGCGAATCTGATGCTTCTGTGACCTCCTTTGCGCGCCCTTTGAAGTCCTGTTAAAAAGAGGGACACAATTGATGAATTCTACCTACGGAGTGTTCTCTGAATGCTTGGGTTGTCTCCCCTTCTCTCTGTGAACTGCTCTGTGATATCTTCACCTCTGTTCGTTTTCCAATACAGATCCAACACAATACAGGAGAACAACATTCAGTCTTGTTCGGCACTGATGTCCTTGACTGAATATAACTAGGCAGTCCTAAGTCCTTAGCTGAACATTCATGGATCTATGTATACCGAGTGAATTTGCATATCTCACTTCATACTTATATCGCTATACATATCACTTTATACTTCTATACTGGCACTTTATAGAGTGACACTGATCTTAATTACCATTCTGTTTGGGGAATCCTGTCTCTTTTCTCAGTATATCTATCCTAATATCACGCGCGCAGTGATACACGCAACTTCCTTCTATACTGATTCAAGTTTCGTTAGTCTCTTCTGACATGTCTTAGAGAGCGATGCTGCTGCATACTCCCTCGGAGCTCTTATAACATTAGTAAAGAACAGTCTATTTGGACACTTTCCCAATAGGTGTTTTGAGAGGGGAAGTGAAAGAGAGGGAGAAAAGAGATAGACACAGAGAGAGTGAGTGATTGAGAGAGGGAAGAGGGAGAAAAGATGGAGAAAGAGAGAGAGAGAGAGAGAGAGAGAGAGAGAGAGAGAGAGAGAGAGAGAGAGAGAGAGACAGAAATAAAGAGGCAGATAGACAAAGACATACACACAAACGTACATACAGGCATGCATGCACACATACACATATATGCGTACAGACAAACATACATACTGATAAACTAGCTCTCCTTCGAAGAGCTAACCTAACCAACCCGTTTATTCATTCTTAATCACCTAATCAGCTCGTCCACGATCGCCCTCATCCTACTCGGAGAACGCAAACCATCTCAATCTTTTTTTTCAGATTTTTAGCGCGATCAGCATTTCCTCCGGACATACCCAAAAGTGGTGGTAAATTCCCGTAGACTTTTAAGGGCTCGTACGTATTTCAGCCTGGCATCCTATTCCTCCCAGGTTGGTTGAAATGGCCCGTAAAGCCCATAATCCCGCCATTACTATGCAGACTCTCGCCTCTGTGACATTACTTCGGGAGTGCT